GAAATGTTTTTCCTGTTAGCATATATGTGCAAAATCTTACAAATTTTAGCAAATCAAACCTGATAATATACAAAAATGACCAAGTGAAGTTTATCCCTGACTGCAGTGTTGATTTAACATTCAAAAATCAGTGTAATGTGCCATGTTAGCAGATTGATGGATTAAAAACCCTATGATGGCCCTGGCCGGTGTGGCCCAGTTGGTTGGGCTCCATCTCATGCACTGAAAGTTTGCTGGTTTGATTCCTGTTCAGGGCACATGCCTGGGTTCTGGCTCAATCCCAATTTGTGGGGGGGACAGGGGGGACGAAGGAGGCAGCAAATCAATGTTGCATTCTCACACATCAATGTTTCTCTTGCTTCCTCTCTACTTAAAAATCAATAAACTATTCTTTAAAATCCAATAATCATTTTAACAGATGCATAAGAAGCAGATGACAATATGCAACAGCTCTTTGTGATTATTTAAAATACGTTTTTATTGATTTTTAGAGGGAGAGGGATAGAGAGAGAAACATCATCGATTGGCTGCCTCCTGCACGTCCCCTACTGGGGATCAAGCCCATAACCAGGTATGTGCCCTGGCTGGGAATAGAACCTTTAAAGAAAAGCCTACCCCCAGCAAACTAAAAACAGGAAACTTCCTCGGTCTGATAAAGGTCACCCCCAATCAAGTTACCATTAGCAATATACATAACTAGAGACCTGGTGCACAAAATTTGTGCATGGGAGGGGGGGGGTCCCTCAGCCTGGCCTGTGCCCTCTCACAGTCCAGGAGTCCTTAGTGCTGCTACGCTTGCCAGCCATGAGCCCAGTGTCTGGCTGAGCGGTGCTCCCCCTGTGGGAGCATACTGACCACCAGGTGCAGCTCCTGTATTGAGCGTCTGCCCCCCTGGTGGTCAGTGCACGTCATAGCGAGTGTTTGAGCAGTCAACTATCTGCCCCTGGTGGTCAGTACATGTCATAGCAAGTGGTTGAGTGGCCTTAGCTTATTTGGCTTTTATTATATAGGATAGTGACAAGCTTAATGCTTTTCCTCTGAGATCAGGAACTAGTAAAGGATTCCACTCGCGCATTATACAGGCAAGAAAAATAAGTAGCCCGGCCAGCATGGCTCAGTGGTTGGGCATCAACCTATGAACTGGGAGGTCAGGGTTTGAGTTCCAGTCAGGGCACCTCTGGTCAAGGCCATATGCTCGGGTTGTGGGCTCGCCCGATGCCCAGTATGGAGTGTGCAAGAGGCAACCAATCATTGATTCTCTCTCATCATTGATATTTTTGTCTCTCCCTCTTCCCTCTCCCTTCTCTGAAATCAATAAAAATATTTTTTTAAAAAATAAGTAAACATTATTGGAAAAGAAGAAATAAAACTGTTTTACTCACAAATGGCATGATTGTATACACAAAAAATCTTAACAGAAAATTATTTTAAATCATCAGGACTAGCAAGTGATTATAACAGGATCACAAGTTTCAAAGGCAGTATAAATAAATTGTATTTCTGTATAATAGCAACCATTGAATCTGAGCTCGAAAAATGAATTTTAAAATAGCATCCAAAACATGGCATATTCAGGAGTAATTTAACAAGTGATGGACAAAAGCTCTGTATTATAAACTACAAAATATTGCTGATGCCTGGTCGGTGTAGTTCAGCATCGACCTATAAACCAGGAGATCATGGGTTCGATTTCCGGTCAGAGCACATGCCCGAGTTTCTGGCTCAATCCTCAGTAGGGGACGTGCAGGAGGCAGCCAATCAATGATTCTACGTATTTCATTATTGATGTTTCCCTTCCTCTTTCTGACATTAACAAAAACATATATATATGTATGTATGTATCCTAGCAGGCTTTTTGTAGAAATTCACAAGCGGATTCCAAAATGAAAGAGTAGTACAAAGCTAAAGATTAAAGCTACAAGAGGATAACCAGCGAACAGAGTCCAGCCCAGGGAAAGACACATAAGTGTAGTCAAATGATTTTTCAACCAAGGCCCCAAAGTGAATCTGGGGAAAAGGTTGTTTTTCTTTTTTTAGATTTTCTTATTTTGGAAAAATGCAGACAAGTATGAGAATAACAACACTCATTTCCCCCAAATAATTATTTTGTCTTTTTTGTATCCATGTTTTAATTGCACAACTAATGTATGGGTAAGCTCTTTATTTCATTTTTCTTTGTTAATAAAGCTACAATTCACAGCCCCATGAGCAAACATATACCCTCTCTGAGACATCATAGTTTTGTGAATTTATTCTTTTTGCCTGTCTTTCAGATTTTAACATACATACGATTTTAAGCAATAAATAGTTGTTTTGTATTTTTAATTTGCATAAACTACTTACATTACCGTGTTTTGCTTTTTTCTAGCAAGTTGTATTTTTCACTCAGCATGTTTCTGAGTTATATCAAGTTACACATACAGAAAATTCATTTTCATAAACTCTGTACCGAGTTTCTCTTGTGAGCGAGTATATCACATTTAATTAGCCATTCCTGCCCTGGCCCAGTGGCTCAGTTAATTGGAGCTTAGTCCCATACAGCAAAAGGTTGCAAGTTCAATTCCCAGTCAGGGCACATACCTACTCTCGTTACTCACGGGAGGCAGTGAATCCATGTTTCTCTCACATTAATGTTTCTCCCTTCCTCTTTCTCTAAAATCAATTTAAAAAACACACCACATATCCTCAGGTAAAGATTAAAAAATAATGGCCCTAGCCGGTTTTGCTCAGTGGATAGAATTTCCACCCGAGGACTGAAGGGTCTCGGGTTCAGTTCCCATCAAGGGCACCCACCTTGGTTGCAAGTTCCAGGTAAAGGCAGGCGCATGCAGGAGGCTGCCAGTCAATGTTTCTCTGTCTCACCCCCTCCCTTCCACTCTCTAAAAGTCAATGGGAAAATATCCTTGGGTGAGGATTAACAAAAATAGTAATTTAGCCATTTCCTACTGGTGGGTAGTAACGTTCCTTGTCACCTGCCATTAGGAACAACACTGGCATGAATTTTTGTGCAAGACTCCTGCTGCGCCCAAACAACCACTTTCCTAGGAGTCTAACCAGCAGTGGTCTTGCTAAGTAGTACAATGTGTGTCTTCCATATTCAAGTGGTTTTACGCCAGACGCTGGATGAAACCTGGGGAGCACAATTATTTAGAACAGCGGTTCTCAACCTGTGGGTTGCAACCCCTTTGGGGCTCGAACAACCCTTTCTCAGGGGTCGCCTAAGACCATCGGAAAACACATATAATTACATGTTGTTTTTGTGATTAATCACTATGCTTTCATTATGTTCAATTTGTCACAATGAAATTGGGGGTCACCACAACATGAGGAACTGTATTAAAGGGTCGCGGCATTAGGAAGGCTGAGAACCACAGTTTGCATGTAGCCTCTGGCTTCGTAGGTTCTAGCCCCTGGCCCTCCCCCTGGAGAGCTTTCTGAGCTTGGCTGGCTTAATGCCTGTAACTTCCGTCCCCTCAGCTGGTGATGATACCTGTCCTGGCTTTTTGAGAGGATTAAAGGGATGAGCCACTGAAGGCATTGGACCTATGAGCAGCAGCCATTGTTAGGGTAGTCTCCTGACCTGCCCTTGTAGTGCTAACTGAGTCCATCGCCTCCCCACTGGGATTGCCTGTGTAAACATCCTTCCTCCTCCACCTCTGGAAGGTCTGGTTCAGCTTCTGACAAGTTTAGTGTCCCGGCCTCCTACTGCACATGCCCATAGGAAGTACCCACTCCCAAAAGGTTTCCTAGGACACCTGTGCCTGCTTTTTTTTATATGTATATTTCTTATTATTGACTTCTGTGTGGAGAAGGGGGAGGGAGACAGAAACATCAATGATAAGAGAATCATTGATCAGCTGCCTCCTGCATGTCCACACTGAGGATCGAGCCCATAACCCCGGGCATGTGCCCTGACCGGGAATTGAACCGGGACCTCCTGGTTCATAGCTAGGTGCTCAACCACTGAGCCAGGCCAGCTGGGTTGTACCTGCTTTTTTTTAAGAAGCATTGAGAGTTTAGTTGCTACCCAGTGGGCCTGACACCTTGGGCCCACCCTCCCAGGTCAGCCCCCGCTGCCATGTTTACTGAACTGAGTTCCCTGAAGGAGGTGGACCAGCATTAATGGGGCAGTACCACAAAAGTCTCATCCACTCACCATCAGTTCTCACTCTAGAATAATAATATAGGACAAATAAAGTGGAACTATCATACAAACAGAAGCATTTGTTAAGCTTACTATGTAGACGACTACTACTATTTTTTAATTTTTTGTTAATCATCACCTGAGGATATTTTTCCATTGATTTTTCGAGAGCAGGAGAGACAGAGAAAGAGAGAAACATCGATTGGTTGCTTCTTGCATGTGCCCTGACCAGAATCAACCCCGGGACCCTTCAGTCCTCGGTTGATGCTCTATCCACTGAACCAAACCAGCTAGGGAAAGCTAGAGATTTTTACTTACGAGCTCCCTTCCATAAAAGTCTCCAAAGTGTTTGTGAGCACTGATGAGAGGGACCCCTGTACTTCTCCCCCACGTCCCACTGGTCACTCCTTCACCACCCCCTCTTGCCTTGCTCCTTGCAGGCACGTGGTTCTCCCCCATCAGTTTGGGGAGTTCTGCCAGGTGGTCCTTTGCCACCCTCTTAGTTGCACGATTTTTGTTCCCTAAAATCTGTACCTGAAGATTAACCTGTAATGAAGTAAGCATCTTACTCCAGACAATTCATTTAGTTGCCAGTGAGCTCGACCAGGTGCAAGGCGTTATGCGAATACTGTGATGAACAAGATAACTTCCCTGTCCTGAGGATGTTCAGAGCCAACTAGAGCAGCGGTTCTCAACCTGTGGGTCACGACCCCTTTGGCGGTCGAACGACCCTTTCTCAGGGGTCGCCTAAGACCATTCTGCATATCAGATATTTACATGACGATTCATAACAGTAGCAACATTACAGTTATGAAGTAGCAACGAAAATAATTTTATGGTTGGGTCCCAACATGAGGAACTGTATTTAAAGGCCAGAAGGTTGAGAACCACTGAACTAGAGGAAACAAATACACAAGGAAAGGTATCGGACCTAATGAGTGCCATGAGAATTAAGAGGGTGGCAGAGTTTGGCGAGCAGTCGTTGAGTCATCTGGGGAAATATCCCCGAGGAGGTTTTCAAGATGAGGTCTGCACTGATGGCACAGCCAGTGTTCCCAGTAGGGCGAACCAACAGTCAGGTGAACTGGGGAGTGTTGGGAAGGCAGCCGCAGCCAGTGGAGCCTGAGCCCCAGAAGGGGAGCGCGCTGGGAGATGAGATCAGAGAAACAGGCAGGGGCCTGGTCATGGGGGTCGGAAAACACACTCCTTCAGGAAGCTTTGCGATGAAGGGAGTCGAGGGAGGTGTCTTCCTCCA